GTGCAATGCCATTAATTGCACGTAAAAATTTGTAATTTTGCACAAATGCGTTTTCATTTTTATTTTTATTTTTATTTTATTTAATTGAATCTAATTGTCACATCCGAATGAGAGAAAAGTTCGGTGCGAAGTGGATTTGTGCACTTCCACGTATTTGTCCAACTACTGATGCACATGAAAAATGCTAATAATTTATTTTTACTTCTGGATAAAAAATCTCTGTGTTCTGTTTTGGATACACAAATTTTATTGAAATCTAAAGAATTTACTTCCACAAAGTTTCAATTTTTGTTTAAAAATAACTCATTTTTTTAAAATAAGTTTAAAAAATATATGTAAATCAAATTCAATTAATATATTAAATAAAACAAATACATAAGTATATCCAGATAATCGGTACATAAGTGATAATAAGGTAAGAAAATAAACCTCATAACCTCACTCTCACACAATTATTTCTTATTATCTACAGTTAATACTCACTAACATATTCTATATAACCATAAATTTAATTATTCACCCATAGCCTCTATTATTCACGCATACCCTCTACAAATAAGACTTCACTAAGATGGCAGTCCAAACATTCTTTCGATTTGCAAGGCTTTCTAGAATTACTGAAGCTGCCCAATGACTTATAACAATTAATAATAACCACAAAACTTTTTTCTAAATACAATCACAATACTTAACAGTTATGAAAACCATGGTAGCTCTAACGAATTAAGTCGCAGTAAGTACCTAATAAAGTAGATCCAACAGTATCTTCACCCCAAATAACTTAAAATGGATTCATAAAAGAAGTGAAAAACTTTCTTCAGAGCAACTTGCAGAATTTATAAAATAAACGTTTTAGATGTTTAATTAAAATATTATAAAAATGAATCTAGTTGGATGAGACCTCATATAGACATGATGGATCTAAAGCAATATCAGATTAGAGATTTTAAAGGCAGTTAATTATCATAATCATTACTTATCAGGCGAATCATTACTTATCAGTCATTCGTGAATTTTAAAAGAGAGTTCACTTTAGTAGCACGGACGACGTTCAGTCACTCAAGACTGGTAGCTTCAAAAAGATTTAATCAATTGTTTGAAAGAGTTAATTGTTTGAAAGAGATATTTGATTTATTTATTAGATGTTTTATTTGAAAATTTATGAGATATTATAATAATGTCTTATGCCTCGTTCTCACTATGTCTTTTTCAATGTCAAATATTGTTCGTATAATAAAAACGGGTAGTCATATGGTGTTATATTCGCATTCCTGTCAGTGTAATGAAAACGGGTAGTCATAGTCATATGATGTCATATTCGCATTCTTGTCATGTAATGAAAACTCATTTGACTCACCACTCGTTTATTATAATTAATCGAAATATCACAATTTTAAGATGAAAGTGTTCGAACTAGAAATTACAATTGATTTTATAGTAAAGAGAATATATAATATTCATTTTGATTTTCTTGACTTTATATTGTACTTAAATCAATAAAGCCTTACACAAATCAATTATATCTACCACAAACCAATTATATCTGACACAATGCAATCGTGTCTGACACAAACCAATAAGGTTTGTTGAAGTATCTCATTAAATACGTTTAACCTTCAAATTCAATTGTAATAAATTTTGTATTATGATTGGATTTTAACAATAATTGCTTTGCTTATATTATAGTTCATGCTATTATATATAGGTATATATCATGGCTAAGACACTTTTTTAAAGACAAAGAGACATATTGAAATCGTTTCTATAGAATATATATAAAGTATTCCACATGAAGTATAGAATATAAAAATAAAAACAACCTTTTATTTTGATACACAAAATATTTAGGCTAACTTCAAGAACCTTTTAAAAAATATATAATTAACTCATAACATAATAATAGCTATTAAAAATAATAGCTAATTAATAGCTTAATTTTCAGGTTTTCTTTGGACTATATATAATAAATATGTATTATGGAGTTTTAAAAACTCTATTTGTTAAATATCTGAATAGAGAATTCGTAAACCTAACTATAACTATATCTAACTATACAAGATTTAGGACCATTCTTATATATATACTTTATATACTATGTTTATATACACTTCCTTGCGATAATAAAAACAATGTATTACTCGTATATTGCAGTATATTTAGTAATTGGTTTCAAAAAATTGTGTAAATTAAATAATTATTTAAATATATGATTTGCAATATTTAATTTGTTAATATAATTACTTAAATTTGATTTCAATCTGATAAGCCTCAACTTAATCATTACGAAGTTTTGTTATTAATCATTTCGAGGACGTTGCGCTTAGTAAATCATTCAATTTTGAAATAAATTATACGTTCCTTTTTTTAATCACTCATTTACTTTATGTTGTAATTTCATTTACAGAAATGATTATTCCTTTTATATTAATATTTAGCATATTACGTATTTTAATATTTTACACCTGAAATAATTATCGCAAGCTATTAATATACTTAAGTGTTAAACTTTTATATTGTTTATCTTTGAAGCTATGGGTATCTGTTAAGCTCTATTTAATAAAACCTACATAATTAAGTACTCAATTTAGGTTAATTTGTGGGTGTAATATTTACATATAATTCAAGACTTTAAGTAGGCTATCAAATTTATAAGCGTTTCATATATTTAATATATTAAAACCTAAATAATATATTACATGGGTTAGAAAATCACTATTTAACATATAGATGAGTTATTTTTAGGGTTGTTAATATTATTAGTTGAATTATCTGTTACACACTTATTATAAATTATTTGTGTTTTAGTAGGAAAGACTTTAAATATATTGTTGAATCAAGAGGTCTTAGGTTATATTCAAATTCAATACACCCAAATAAAGTTATGTTAATTATGAAATTAATTAACTTAACCTAACTTAATTAATGTACTATGCATAAAGCTGCTATATCTTTTAGAATAGTTTATACAGAATTAACTTTTGTGATGTACTATTTGTACTAAGTTCCTACAAATCTTATAAAATAAGATACGTTAGAATTGTTATTAAATAAATATAAATATATGACTATTACTAATTATTTTTCATTGCTTAAGCAACTAAACATAATTGACTGTTATATTAAGGAAATGGGTCTGGATGATCTCAAGTATAGAGATATAGAGGTGTAAACAATTTTTTATTACACATTCAATATTTTTATTAAATTCTCGATTCCAATTTTATTTCAAAAGATATATTATACATGTAAGCATTTTTAAGTTCATTGCTTCAAATAAGATAAATGAATTTATATAATTGATATTAATTTTGTTTGTTATTTGAAAGGTGAACTTGGGGGAAACCTTTTAAAAAATGAATACAATTTGCATTCATAAGTGATTTAAAATGACTAACGATTGAAGCCGTAATAAATTATAATAAGTGCCATTAAATCATTATGTAAACATGAACGTCCAAAGGTTACTCCCTGTAATGGTAGTAGAGGATATTCAAATTAATGGGTGTCAAATTAACTTATTCAAACAAATTGTTTAATTACATATATTTTGTATAAAAGTTATACAACTACAAAGAGGAATGAAGAGGAAATTTGTAGTTATTTATACAGATTTTTTGTCATATATCTTTCCATTCGAAATTACTCTATGGATAGTACAGAACTAAAGTGTATAGTAAAAGCCATTGTGGTTAATTTTCGTTACTATTTATAGAAAATACTATTTAATCACAAGAAGTTTGAATTCTGATATAAATTATTTAAAAAATTATGCATTTTATGTTTATTTTTATTTAAATAAATCTTAAAAAATAAATTTATGATTTCAAAAAAAAAATCCGAGTGAAATAAATCCTTTATGTATCTTCATTATACTATCACTCGAAAATGAATTAAGTCTTCAGGGATTATATATTTAATTCTAAAAAACACATCCAGTAACATAAATCCTTAACTTCATATTCAACTATAGTTTGATAGTGTGATCTTCATGAAAATATATATATGAATTAGTTGACATTCTGTTAAATTCTCAACTAGTATTAATTATTGTTCTAATTATAATTAATTTTCATATTTTTTATTACGAGTATATCACAACATGTCAATATATTACCGATTTTCAAATATAGGAAGAGGACGATTCACGTTTCTTTTTCAATTAATTTTTTAAGTGTAAGTATATATCAGAATTTTCTAATTTAGATTTTCTAAAAATTTATTGTTCTAATTATAATTAATTTTTATATTTTTTATTGCCAGTATATCACAACATGTCAATATATTAGCAATTTTCAAATATAGGAAGAGGACGATTCACGTTTCTTTTTCAATTAATTTTTTAAGTGTAAGTATATATCAGAATTTTCTGATTTACATTTTCTAAAATATTTTTAATTTTGAAATAAAAAATTTAATACTAAACGAATTTATTGCGCAAATAATTTAAAAACTACATTGAATTAAATTTATTTTTAAACCACATTTTGCAACTATTATATCTCTTTGCGTTACATACATATTTAGTATCCTTAATACCCGATATTCCATTTATATGATTTGAACGATTTTTATTTTTCACTTTTAAGTATTTTTTGAATTGACAAGCTATTCTTAACAGGATTAACATAGTTATGAATCTTCTTTTTCTTTGAATGTAAATTAAAACTACCGATTAAAGACATTCCAAACACTTGCTAGACTCAATTTTAAATTAATATTTTACAGAGTGAACATTTACAAACAAATTATTCAAGAATTTCAATAATTTTTAAATTTCATTATTTAAGCAAATTTAACAAAAAAAAGCAATATTATTATATTAGTTTCCACTTTCACTGAATAAATTATTTAACTCGTTAAATAACTCTTTAACCTAATTCATAAACTCTACTAAAAATAATGTTACTGTGATTGCTTACACTTTCTTTATTTGCTTCAGTGAGAACAAGGATACAATATTTATTATATATCCTTAAAATAATAACATTAACTATACTCACCACTTGGTTTCGTTGGAATGAATTCTAGGGTTCTATCCTTGCTACGTAGATCCTCGCCAGTGCCATCGATCCAAACGTACGTAGCTTGTACAATATTCTCCTCAACAGGTAAGTCCAAATAACGATCCAGAATCGTTTTGTTTATATGAGCATTAGGTGAATCAGTTAGAATTCTTGCCGCCATACTAAAAGCATTTAAAAACAAATTTATTAAAGTATTTCACACGCCATCAACACTTCTCGACTAATATTTCACGGATATATTTCGATTAAACTATAAACAAATTGTACCTTGAATTTTGGTTTTATTAAGGAATGACTTCAAAATGAAATGCAACGAGAAAATACCTTTTCAAGTATTTATTTATTATGTGTAATATTTTCGAATTTTCGAATTTGGCGGTATCGTTACTGAAACGCAACTAAGTGGAAACTTAGCGTTTCAAGTCAATTTATAACAAAAAAGAATCATTTATTACTTACATTGTCAGTAAAACAAAAGCAAATAATAACAATAACAATAACAAGCGCAAAAGCAAGAACAAAAACAGTTACAGAAACAACAACTACCACAATGAAAATAAAAGCAAAAACAAAAACAAAAACAAAAATTATTCGCAATTGCGACAATAGTTTTTGCATGGAAATGCCGGCATGTCGTATGAGTGATACAACCGCAATGCCACACACACATACACACACATACATGCGAAGCAATAAAATCAGTGGCGTTTAAAAAATTTATTATAACGAAAATATAAAATAATTGAATTATGAATAAATAAAACAAATAACAAACATACTGGGAGAAAGATTTAAGATTATTAAAATAATTTTTTTCATTAAAATACATAGAAAAATAAATTGGATATTGTCTGTTTAGGAAAAAAGTCTTAATTTATGGAGCCCATTAGTATGGTCAGTGGGATAGTATAAATAATTGACTTAGTTGACGAATAAAAATAAATAGATTGTTATATTTCTATTAAGTATTTGTGTACTTAAAAAATATCTTACCAAAATACTGGGTGCATCATATCAACATGCTTTAACCTCAGGACATGATGCCTTGATCCGAAAGACGAAAAATATTGTATAGGTGAAGGGGTAATGATATATAGTAACTTATTTAAAAAAGACTATTTATATCAAATCATACATCAGTAGTGAAATACTCGTATAATTTTATTTATGAATACTTATACGCACCGTGGAATAAATAGACTATTGTTGAAAAATCATTAAACATATCGATTCAAAGGACAATTACAGAAAAATGGTGCGTGATAAAAGAGAAATTATTTTGAAAAAATTTATTTAACAAAAAAATATTATGCAAAAATTATAACAAAATCTAATATTTTGCAAAAAAACTATACAACATTAAACTCAAACACTTAAGCGCTGAATGCATTGAATTTATTTAAGATACTCTATAAATTAATGCAATATTATCGCTTATTGAACTAAAGGTTTTCCCCAATATGCAGTTCTTGAATATACTGTAGGCGTGTGGAGGCTTAACCTACACATTTATAAAAGTACATTGGAAAGATATAACCGGTCTTTAAACGAGCTGAAGTTGTTATTAGGAACAAAATACATTACCTTTTTAAGAAATTTAAATTTTTTTGTTAGAAACATTTTAATTTTTAAGGCAGTTTAATTTCAAGTTCATAACACCATAAATTCATAAGGAATAAAACTATTAAAGTATCATATAGGGCACTGTTTTTATAATGTTTCTGCATTTAAAGTTAATTAAGCAATAGTAATTTGAAAGATACAATAGTATCCGTATTTCATAATGTCAATATATCTTTTAAGTTAGAACAAAAGAATGAAGTTACATACAAAAATTGAACAAGAAAAATCCATTTGTGTGAGAAAAATAAAATAATAATATTATTTATCAATAAATAATACAAATAGTTTAATTATGTTTAATTAAAGACTTGATTCAGTATGATGAGAATATACGGTACCTGATGGCTGGTTAACCCAATTTCTTTAGACTAGAGAGTTTTGTCGCAATAGCAAGTAATCTGAGTAAATAAGTAACATATCTTTTTAATATAGGTTCTAACATACATATTAAGCGTTTTCATCTTAACTGATAAATGCGTTATAAATCTTATAAAAGTATTAAGTTATCCACGTTATAAGTTAAGTGTCAAATCTTGTATGAAAAATCATTTACACAAAAAAATGAAAAATCATTTACACAAACTTCATACATTTACATGAAAATTTTACTGAATAAATTTATCGCATAAATTTATATGTTGCCAATTCAGAGTTGCATTTCAACACAAGCAAGTCATTTACAAAAATATTATGTAAATACTTTTGTTTGAACTTTTTAAACTTTTTAAACGCAAATAATTATACATTTGATATGCTTAGATGAGTATCCTTATTGAATATGATATGGTACACAAACCATACTAGAGCTCAAACAATGGTCTAATATTACAGATTAGTGTTCATACGTAGACCGGAAGGAATCCCCAACGGACCGCAGTAATCAGTGTACAAACAACACTGAAAGGCACAACTCCCTTGTTTAAGTGGAAGTGAATCTGGTAAGTTTATAAACTTGGCTAAGTCCTTAATATTTCAAAATATTACTATTTTGAATAGTAAAAAAGGGACAACAACAATTTTTAGACTTCAATTAGCTGAAGATAGTCATTGACTAAGAAGGTGAAACAACTTCAAAGCGACAACCATGACAACAGTCTTTATAGGATAGATCGTAGTGCTGAGTAATTATCACTTTAGTGTAAACAGCTGACTGCTACTTTTTTGTCCAGTTTGGGTCAATAAAAATTAAAATCTGACAAGAATATTCATCTACCTAGGTTTGTTTGACTTGTGTTGTATTATACCCTCAAAAAATTGCTGGTGGAGTATTTGGATAGAATATTAATTAAAAAGCTTTATTCAAATATGTGTTTTATATTTACATTTAATTAATCTATTCTAATCATTTTTTTAGTAAAATAAATATTTTATATAGAAGGTTATTTCAATATATATTATATATATTTTTACTATTACTAATAAATTCGTAATATTTTTAATTCACAATTAAATAAAAACTAATATTTGGATTATCTTTTTATAAATTTAACATAATTAGTTAATATGTAAAGTAAAATTTACTGGTTTGAGAATTTGTAGGTAAGTTGTTATATTTGAGCCACATTGCCTTTAAAAAGTTTTAAAGGAACTTTAATAGTTTTAAAAAGAAATGTTTATTTAAAACTCGCACAGTAAATATCTCACAAAAAAATATATCAGTCATATAGAAAGGACTCTTATATTCAATGAATTCATTGAGTAATAATGCTTTGATACATTTTAAGATACATTTGAGGCACATAGTAATGATTGTTATCTTTTAAACCATATAAATATGATTGATATTTATACTGATTCTCATCTAATGATTCTTTTATCGGATATATTTCGATGCCGTTGTAAATATTTTTAATACCGTATCAAGGCAAAACATTAAGTTTAATATGTCTAAACATTTTTATTTGTGATTAAGAGTCAAAACAATATCACGACTGTTTGAATAATATTAAAAATTATATACACTTTAAGTTTTTATCCTTTCTTTTTAAAAGTTTAATGCACTGCTCAATATTATTCATTTATAATATTAATATTATTTTTATAGAATTTGCATATGACTTACGGATTCATTTTGACAGATTTTTTTTATTTTACTTGTCACTTTTTAAAAAAATATATTAAATTTTATTTAATTTTATTTAAGACTGTTTTAAATTGTCTTTCTTTATGCACAATTTTTAAAAACTGCAATTTCACTGAGTTTTTATTGAAAATATGTTTGAAGCAATTGAACTTCTTCACAATCGAAATATTTACGTGTTAATGACAAACGTTTTGATTTTGGTTCTGCTATTTATAGCTTGGTTTCTTAAATATAAAATTAAAATAAAAATTAATAAGAATATTTTCTTTTATTTAGTCTTTGTGTTTTTTGCGTACTATTAAAAAGTGCTAATTACCTATATAAGAAATCTCACTCTCTTACAATGCCCCAAAAGTGTAAATAAAAATCAGACACGAAATGAAACATTTAAATACTGACGTGACTTTGTTTGAAGATTCGTTAAAAAATTTATATGACAGTAATAAAACAGGCATAAAAATTTGGTATCTAGAATAAAAAATTTATTCTAGCCACTTCCAAATTTAGTTACATTCATTAAAGATGGCGTCATTAATATGGTGTCCTTCAGGTGTGACAATTCATGCTAATTAATGTAATTTTGTAAGTTGTAATCAAAACTTGTTCTATAGATAAATTAGCTTTAGAGGTACACTTTATATTAATAGATAAACAACTTTTTTTTTATACTAATTAAACAATAATCTTAATTAAGGCCGTGTGCGAGTTCGAGTAAATTGAGGTAAGATCAGGTTAGGTTAAACCGACGATCCCAGGGGGATCCACTTAGGCCCATAGACCCATTGTGTTACTGTATTACTGAAAACTTAAAGGCTAAAACCATCTAAAACTCAAAAATTTAAGGCGACGCCGCGCATGTGCCGTACAGAAACAAAGCAGGTGGGAGGCACTTTCTTCATCCTCACCACAACTGCGGAAAACATGATTGAAAGGGAGATTCAGACTAATATCTCTGAGGTAAAGTAAATTTAAATTTCCTATTTAGTTTTTAATCATATTACGACATATTCCATGAATTAATTTTTATTTTAATAACAAGAACATTTTTTATTAAATTTCCTGGTATGAATTTATTTAACTCCAGTATTTAAAATAATTTTCTTATAATTTGCTTAGATCAACGGTCAAAACAATAAAATCGATGTATTTTTAATGGATGATACGTGATTTCATCAAAAGAGTATTAAAGACATAAAAAAATTTAACAACAAGCACACGTTTAAATTAATTAACGTTTTAGTAAAGCTAACGACTCTGACAAAAAAAAGGGAAGACAAGAAAATTGGTTAAATACCCTTTATACAAATTAATTTCAAAAAAAATGTGAAATAAAAATATGTCAGCTAACAGCACTAGAAAAATAGAAGGATAATTTCAAAAAATGTTCCTGTAGAAAAACGTAATTAATATCAATATATTAATATATATTATTAATTTTTTTAATATAATATATATAGGATTACAATCGGGGTCGATTTTGACAAAAATGGACTTCTGAAATTTTTCTATCTCTGAAGAAAAACTCCTAAGCTAACCCTGACAATTAAAGGTTAAACTACCTCCAATAAGTTGCTATCTCTTACAGAATCTGATAATATGTGTATCTTGGTTCAAGAATTTAAATCTCTCTCGGCTTAATGAAAGCTACAAGGAGATAAGAGACTACGTTTTCTGACAATCGCAGTGTACA